CACACACACACACACACACACACACACACACACACAGACACACACAGACACACACACACAGAGTGTCTGTGGGGGCCCAGAGGCTGCCTCCACCCTTCCCTTCACTAGGAACAGTCCCTGTCATTCCCCCTGATGACCAGGACCAAGGGCGGTTTACTCCACACACCGCGGAGACCCAGCTGGGTGCTCCTGGAGCACTGCGTGGGGAGGCCTGAGGGCTAATGCAGCCTGCTCTGGCCTGTTCTTCACCTGGCCGCCCACGTCAGGAGACCCAAACAATGGCTCTGGACACGAAAACCAGCATGTACTTCCTGGTTGATGACGGCTATCAATGCTGGGGAGCTGCCATCTCCCTGCGGACACGACCCGCCACAGTGAGGGCCTGCCCAGGCCTCACCCAGCTGTCTCCTTTTGCTGGTCCTGCCTGGAAGCCTTTCTAATGAAGTCTGTGAGTCACTGTGGTGAGTTATCAACCCGTGGGTGGAGTGCGACCAACAGGTCCAAAGTGTGGATTCCTGATGGTCCCTGAATTTGTAACCAGTTGGTCAGAATTGGGATTGGTTTAAGGACCCCTCAAACCTGCCTGGCTATGGTGGTCATTCATGGCCAGACAGGGGCCACAGGGCAGTGTGGAAACTGATGAGCCGGCCTTGAGGGCCAGGACACCTACTCTGACGAGGGCTTTCTCCAGGTGAACAAGAAATGGGGTTACTGGCAGTGCAGCTGAGCCTACTACACCTTGGGTGTCATCACAGCAAATGTCACATGTACGTCCCTGAATGGTCAAGATCTGAGAGAGCCTTCTCGACTCCACTACCTGTCCCACCATGAACTCCCACAAAGAACCTGCCTGGGGTGGGACTCCGAAGAGGGGCTTACCATCGCAAAGCCCACGTCCGCCTTCTTCAGGGCCGGGCCATCATTGGTGCCGTCTCCGGTCACGGCCACCACCTGCCTCTGCTCCCCAGTTGTGCTGTCGATGATCCCTGAACACAAGGACATGGTGGGGCTCTCTGTCACTGGGACAGTCCCCTCCCACCCGGGGGACAACCTGTACACCTCAGCATCACTGATGCTGCTGGTGCAAGTAGAGGTGGGGGGCTCCCCCTCAGCAGCACTGGGTGTGCCTGTCCTCCAGTGGGGACCTGGCTTCGCATCGGGGCGGGGGGGGGGCAGTGCATGCCACGTGGCCACTGCTTTTACCTTTCACGAGGGTGTGTTTGTCGGTCGGAGAAGAGCGGGCAAGAACCCTCAGCTTGGGCCATACCTTCTCCAGCCGCTCATGGTCAATCCGGACAAGAGAGAACAGGGTGAGGACGCGGAGGGGGGGGGGGGGGGGGGGGCGGGCGCTGGGCCAGAGCCCCAGCCCAAGGTGGGAAGGGCCGGGCCGGACCGGGCCGCGGCACAGCCAGCAAGAGCATGCTGCCTGGGCCTGAGGACACCCTGCTGGCCCCACGCGGAGCTTGGAGCTCGGCCAGGACTACCTCGCCTTTCTCGTTGCGGATTCGCCGGTTGAACTCCTTCCCCTCCAGGCACAGGAAGTCCTCCCCAGGTTGCAGAATGCCACACTTGACTGCGATGGCCCTGGCTGTGTTGATGTTGTCCCCTGTCACCATGCGGACAGTGATGCCAGCTCGCTGGCACTTGCGGATGGCTTCAGGGACCTGCAGGAGGCAAGGAGGTGGACGTCAAGGCCACTCAGATGGGCAGGGCCAGCATCCTGGCACCCCACTTGCACTGAACAGGGACTCAGACTCTGGGCTCTGACTCCAGCAGGTAGGCAACCCGGTCCTGGCACCCCTTCCACGCGCTTGTTTCCAGATATGACATGAGACCCCTGAAGACAGGAAAGGGGGGCAAACACCGCATACAGGGTAGAAGAGACTGAAGGCTTTGGAGCCTCTGAAGTGGGGGATCCCACTGGGGAAGGTGACCCAGTGACACCTGCATCCTGTTCTGTGAAGTAGCTCAAAGGATGAGACCTGGGAGTTACCACTGGATGTTAGCCCGGCCACAGCCCCTGGGATTGGGCCCGGAAGGGATGGGGATGCAGGGTGTGACACTTCAAGCTGAAGGGAGACAAGCTCCTTCTCGGGCGGAATTGTGGAAAGGCAGCCCTGTGCTGCCACCGCGTGGTCAGGAAGAGGCCTGTCCAGGCTTGTCCTAGCTGGACCTGGCCAGGCCATCCCTGCAGTCGCAAAGTGGCTGCACCCCCAGCAAGTGCACAGAGCCAGCCTTCCCTGGGGGCCACGCTGGAGTCCATCCATCTGCGACACTGGGCCCTGCCAGTGTCTGGCCTCAGGGTCTCCCTGCCTGCCTGCCCGTCTGGACTTGGCCAGGGCCCTGACTGCTCTCCATCTCTGCTAATCTGACATTAAGGATCCTGAAAATCACCCCTAAACCCAACAACGACATCCCAATCTGAGAACCCAGGGCCAAGTCAGGCTTGGAGAGAGTTTTGGCTTTAACCAGGAGAAGGGTCCAACGTTCTGGAAGGTTCAGCCACCCGCCCCCCAACCTGGTCTCATTTCAGCGTCTCAAACTGAGTGACTTGGATCACGTGGCTGTGTTTCTGAGGACTGGGGACCCTGAGGGGTTCCTCGGCTGGTGCTCCCTGCTTCGTCCTCCAGGAGGGGCAGAGGGGGCAAGCTGACTGGCCTGGGGTTCTGGGGGACCCCATCCACACAGTGCTCTGGGCCTCACATGTCCCAGGTAGCGAGAGTCACAAGCCAGAGTCCTCTCCCCTCTGCTCCACTCCTGCAGGAACAGAGGTTCACCACCCCCGCCCCCCATCCCAGCCAGCTCTCTGCTCTACTCCTTCTCTGGACTCTTTTTCAGTGGCTCTCATGTTCGGTGGCTCTCTGTTCCGGCTACACACCCACTTCCGTGGCATCACTTATAGATGCTTCTGGAATCACTCCCCCGCCAGGACCTTTGCTGTCAGTGCCCTGTTCCGGCAACCCCAACCAAACCTTCAGTCCAGAATGTTCCACCAATCCCTGAAATCTTTGTCCCTCAGCCCTGCTCCCACCAAGCTCTCCTCTGTGACCCCGGGCTCGCCCTTGACATCTGTGGTGCAGTGCCCACCCCCATGGCCTTGCCACCCAGCACAGGTCACCTGCCAGCAGGTGTGAGTCTGGGGACGCTTCCTGGATGAGGGCATCTACCTCGGGGCGCACGGGGTCCTCAATGCCCACCACGGCGATGCAGGTGAGGTCAGCCACCACCTCATTTTCGTTGTCCCACTCAGGTTCCTGGACTGCCGAGAAGTCCCGGTAGGCGATGCAGATGGTGCGGAGACCATCACAGGCCATAGGCTCAATGACCCTCTTCACCATCTCATCCCGGTCCCGGGGGCGGAAAGTGCGGAGCTCCCCGCTGCTGTTCAAGATGGTGGAGCACCTGGGGTAGGAGCAGGCAAGGCCAAGTGAGCTGGAGGCGAGCCGTCAGCCCAAGCAGCCCCCCAGGCAGCCCCTGAGGCAGCTCCCCAGGCCTCGGGGCTTTCCGATGGAGGCTCTCTTCTCAGCGCAGTTGTGATGAGGGAGCTTTGGGAAAGCCGAGGGCAGCCCCCTCACATGGAACCCTGAAAACTTCTGGAAGCTTTTCTCAGCAGGAACCAGGAGGCAGTGCTCTGGGGGTAGGAAGATGAACAACAGCATCCAGGAGCTTCTCAATGGAGCGGGGGCTTGGAGGTGTGCTAGGTGCCCATCCGCCACCTTATTTTGAAGAGTTTTAGTGCAATTAAGTCACAGACTATATAATCCACCTTTGGAAAGGCCTAGTAGATGTCTGTGCACTCACTACAGAATTCTAGAACATTCTCCTAGACCTCAAAAGCAGCTTTCCCCCCATGGGCTCCATTCACCCCCAGCCATCAGTCTGTCCCAGAAGCCTACTCACTTTTTCAGGAGGATCTCTGAGGCCCCCTTGCTGAAGAGGCGGAAGCCCCCGTCAGGCATCTGGATGACCGTGCTCATGGACTTGCGGACTGAGTTGAAGGTGTAGACCTTGTAAAGCTTGTCCTCTGGGATCTGCTCCCGCACTGGCTGGAAGTCCCGCTTGAGGTCCAGCACGAAACCCAGCAGTGCACACTCTGTTTTATTACCCACTTGACGTGGGAGGGCACCTTCCTTCTCTGGAGGCTACAAGAACAAGAGGCACCAATGACTGCGATGCCCTGCCCTCCCCGTTGCCCCAGGGCCCCAGGTCAAGCTTGGAGCCAGGGCAGAGCTCCTGTGTAGCCTGCAGAGCCAGGCCCCGGTGGCAGAGTGACCAAGTCACGCAGCTTTCCCATCACTCCCTGAGCCTAGAAGCGGCAAGGAGTCCTGGGGCCAGAGCACCCTGTCAGGTCAAGGCCACAGAGATGGTGCCCGCGTGCCCCGTGGACCACCTGGCTCTAGCATGAGCTGCAGGTGCCGCCCGCCTGCCCCAGGGCTCACTAGTATTTTGGTGGTGTAGGCACTGTTGATGGAAATGGCGTGGACCAGGAGGTCGAGGGTCTTGGGGGTGAGGGCACTTGCAGCCGGGATCTCCTTGTAGTGGGTGTCCCCCAGGTAGGACTGGACCACCGTCATGCGATTGGTGGTCAGTGTGCCCGTCTTGTCAGAGCAGATAGCTGTGGCGTTGCCCATGGTCTCGCAGGCGTCCAGGTGGCGTACCAGGTTGTTGTCCTTCATCATTTTCTGGGAGAGGCACAGGGCGAGTGGGACTGGTGTTAAGCAGACCCCCTGCGAGGCCATCTCCCCTCTCAGGCTCCCTGCTGATCCTGGGGCTCTCCCACACTCTGCCCACTGTCCTCCAGGGTCTTCCCTCCTTGTCAGGCTGACCAGGACCTCAGGTGGTCGGCCAGGCAGCCCACCGTCCAGGTCCACGGCCCAGCTCAGTGGAGCCTCTGCCCAGCCAGGGCCCACTCGGCCCACCTCGCTCCCTGAACCATTTGTCTTCTTTCTCATGTAACTTTGAAGCGTGCATGCTTCTTTTTCCAAATCGTATAATCATGTCTTAATGGCGTAAACGACTCTCTCTAGTTCTGAAATTAGCTCACTTCAATGCCAGACATTCAGATTCAAGACTTTTATCTGCAAATGTCTTGATTTTGCTTTCATTCGTCCAGCATGTCTGTGCCGGGTTTGCTTTCTGGTTGTTTTCTGTCCTCCACACCCTTGTGTGTGCAGTGTGTCCCCGCTCACTATACCCGCTCCGTCTTTATTTGGGGAGATTTGAGAGTCCTGGGCTGCCTGACCACCAGGACTGTCCGCTCCAGAAACCCCACCACCCTGCAGGGCCTCTACCTACAGTTAGCTCTCGTACCTTGACAGAGTAAGCCAAGGAGATGGTGACAGCAAGAGGCAGGCCCTCTGGGACTGCCACAACCAGCACAGTGACCCCGATGATGAAGAATTTGACAAAGTACTGCACATAGACAGGTGTGCACTCGGCCAGCCACACTCTGCCCTGGAGGACGAAGGTCTCGATGACGAAGTAGAGCACTAAGATGATCACAGTGATGGCGGACATCACCAGCCCTGGGGGGGGGGGGTGAAGAAGGGTTGGGAGGAGCGCGCGCGGCTCGGGGTGCGGCGAGAGGTGCATGCGGGCCTGCTGGCACAGGGCGTGGGCCAAGGCTGACCTGCTTTTCCGATCTGTACAGCCAGCTTGGTCAGCTTCCCCTGAAGGACAGACTTCTCCTTCTTGGGCACGCTGGCTTTCTTCTTCTCCCGCTCCTCCACCTCCCCACCCTCTGCGCTCTTCAGGGGCTGCATCTCCATGGCAACAGCCCCGTCCTGCTTCTTAGCTATGCACAGAGGAAGGCAGGACCCAGATGAGGACCTGGGCAGAGGGGCCAAGAGACTCCAAGGGGCTTTCATGGGGTGGGGCCAGAGGCACACCACTGTCCAAAAGGTCACGGGGTCACCTGCTAATTCTCGGCCTCCCTCCTCAGTCCTGGAGGGACAAGTAGGTCCCATGGGCCTGAGTGCCACAAGGAAGAGGGGGAAGAAACGTGGCTCACAGCCACTGGGGAACCACAAAGGACTTCACCTTCTTCTCTGCTTCCCCAGCCCTGCCTAGGCCCCTCAACTCTGCACGTCCTGGTGCAATTAGTCACTTCCAATCGCTCCCTCTGCCCCTCCTCTGGGAGGGCACCCAGGACAGGGGTCCCCCAGGCATCCCGGGTGCTCATCTCATCACGTGGGCTCCAAGGCTCCTGTTTCTGTGCCCCTCCCATGCCCCTAGTCCTCTGCCAGCTGTCAGAGCCTCACCTTTGGTCTGGCTGCCGTCCATCGCCCCGTCCTGCTGCTTGCCTGTAACAGAATAGGGACAGGACAAGGGAACTTGAGAGTACACGGTCACAGAGGATGGAAGACAAATGGCGAAGGGTAAGGGGAGGAGAAGGGTCTTTTCAGTGTCCCCACCTGGACCACCTTAGCCTTCCAAGGACACTGAGCCCTCCAACCAGCAGGGGGCTTCTGTGAGTTCAGAGACTGCTAGGTGTCTGAGCCAGGGCAGAGCCTCAGACAGGGCAGCCGCTGAGAGAGAGGCCTGCGGATGCCAGGCCCACCCCTCACCCCTTTGTGGACTCCCATGGAGCAGAGATGTCACGGGCCTCAAGTCACCACAGGCCTCCACACACCAGCCACCACTGCCTCTCTGACCCTTGCCCACACACTGCTTGGTCCATCCACTGACGTGACCTCCACTGAGTACTGCAAGGGACACAGGTCAGGTCTGGGGTACAGACCAGAGGTAGGAGGAGGCAGGCGGCAGATCCGAGTTCTCAGAAACCCTGGCCCCAAGGTCAGACGATGCCCTTTGGGGAACCTGCCAGGCTTTTGGCCTGGCGCTCTGAGCCCAGGCTCAACCAGGAGAGGGCATCCCCAGGAGAAAACAAGAGGGAATGGTTTCTCAAGCCCTCTCCCCAGGGCCAGGAATGGGCAAATGGGTCAAAGGGGGCACCAGCAGTCAGGCGGAGAGGAGGGAAGGGCGTGGACACAGGAAGCTGCCAGGCCTCCTGGCTTACCTTTCTTATCTTTCTTCTCCTCCTCTCCACCAGCTCCAAGCAAGGTAAAGATGATGCCTGTCTGCGAGTTCACCCCCACAGCCGTCACCACCATCCTTCCAGAACCTTCCATGACATGAGTGCCTGGCACAGCAACAGAGAATGACTGCAGCTGAAGGCCCCTGGGCTCCTCCCCAGCGTCCAGAGGGGCCAAGCTCTGGCTGCAGCTCGAGGGCCCGCCCCTCTCTGACTCCTGCTCCGAGACCACCATCCTGCCTCCATTAGGCCTGCTGTGCTGGGGGCGCACCTGAGAGAAGCATGGGGTCTTTGTCGGCCGACTTGCGCACATGGTCCGACTCCCCGGTCAGCGAGCTCTCGTCAATCTTGAGGTCATTACCCTGGATGAGCACACCATCGGCAGGCAGCAGGTCCCCTGGAGGCCAGGCAGGTGGAGGCATTGGGCGGGGCCCTCTCCCCACCCCTCTTCCTTCCCCACCCGACCCCCTTGTCTAGCAACCCGGGGGAGGCCCTTCACCTCAGCTCCCCTCCACCCAGCCCGAGGACGGCTACACTCACCGTACTTGACTTGGGCGATGTCCCCGACCACCAGAGCTGCCACCGGCACCTGCAGGAGCTGCCCATTCCGGATGACCGTGAACTTCTGCTCCTGCTCGATGCGGCTCTGCAGCCCCCGGAACTGCTTCTCTTTGCTCCAGTCGTTGAAGGCTGTGACCAGCACCACGCAGATGACTGACAGCAAGATGGCAGCCCCTTCGATCCAGCCGGCCTCGGCCTCACCCTCATCTTCCGCCCCGGCCGCCACGTTCCCACAGGCTGTGCAGGGGCAGAGGGACAGCAGGGGCGGAGAGGACCCCCTCAAGGCCTGCCCTCCCCGAGGCCCCTGCCCGTCCTCCCCAACGCCCCTCTGGCCCTGTCCCTCACCCTCACTCTCCTCTCCGGGGGGCGCATAGAAGGAGAGGCCCAGGGAGACGATGGCGGCCACTTCCAGGATGATGAGGGTCACGTCCTGCAGGGCCTCCCACACCAGCTGGAGGAAAGTCTTGGGCTGCTTGGGCGGGATGAAGTTCTGCCCGTAGATCTGCCTGCGCTTCTCCAGGTCACTGACATTGTCTGCGAGGCCTGACGCAGGGACAGAGGGGAGCTGGGTGAGGACTCTGTCTGCTCCGCACGGTTCCTGTCCTTGCCAGGCTCTCCTGCTGGCCTGGGTATCAGACAGGAGGCGGTACTGAGGTGTGCCCATGACCTTGGGTCTGCCCCGCCTCCAAAGGGGGCTCTAAAGGGCAGGCAACGTCCAGACTGGGGACATGGACAAATGGGCTTTGGGAAACAAGGCAGGCCCAGGATAGGCAACCAGTGGCAAGCCTGGGGGTCAGTCAGGGGCTGCCAGGCCAAGGGGGTATGCATGTAGGGGGATGTCAGTAAGGCTTCACCCAGAGGCTGAGGCCACCTGTCTCCGGACCGGCACATTCCCTGTGTCAGCCTTGCAGGGGTTGATTACAAAGGGGTGCAGAACCTACGCCTGGGCCCCAGGCTCAACCTTGTTATCAGCATTACCGCCTCACCCACCAGTGGGCTGGCGCGCCCAGGCCTGGCCTTGCCCTCTCTGAGATCAGCCACTTCAGGGTCGAGGTAAAGAAAGCCACAGAAACTTCTGAAGCTTGGGAACAGAAGCTAGGTCCCATCTGCTTTCAGGGCTTGAGTGTGCAGCCCACACTGGCCCCAGGATGGCTGCTGGCTGCTCCCACCTGAGCTCTGGCCCCAGCCTGATGCCTCTCACAGGGGCAGGGGCACCAGAAAGGACAGATCCCTGACACTCAGAGGAAGGCATCCGAGACTCCACGCAGTAGTGCTCACAGGAGCTGAGGGGGAAGAAGGTGGGGGGGGGTGTTCCTGGGTGGGACAGGGGTTTCTGGGAAGGAAGGCCATGCAGCCTGTGGGTTGCAAGACCAAAAGCCCTGGTCCAATCTTGGCACATCCGTCCAGTGTCCTCCCCACACAGATGGGGGGCAGCTGTCCCTGCCCTTCTCCTGGCGGCTCAGGTTCCCATGGGGCTGCAGGCCTCTCTCTGAAGGTGGGGGCAGGGGCAGGAGGTCATGGGGTGGGGTCTGCCTGGGTGGGGACTCCCAACAGGAGATGGGGCCTATGGGTCAACCGCATCCTGCCTGCTTTGCTCACACGAGCCAGACTTCCTCCCTGCCCCTCACGCCTTCCATGCCACCATCACCCTTTCTCTTGGCCTTGAATTGCCTTTGACGCTGTAGGAATGCTCTACCACTCCTGCTGCCCTAGACAGGGCAGTGGCCCTGGGCTGGGCTTGTGGCCTTGCCTCTCTTGCCAAGTTGGGGCTCCTGACAGGCCCCAGGCAGCTGCAGACCCTACAGTCAGTCTGGACTCCCCTTGTTCCAAGGTGTGGGCCAGAGGCCAGGCAGTTGGCATGGACACAGATGGGCAGCCTGCCCACAGCAGAGGCCAGATACCATCAGAATTGGATTTGAGCCATATCATATCAGCGAATGCACCCTTCTATTATGGGCTGCTCATGCCCGCGCGGGCCTGGGTCTGCATTTCTGGTGGGTCCACCCTGCTTCAGGATGCCTTTGGGGCCAACATCCTAGATGCTCACGGAAGCCTCCCCACCTGGCCCCTGGTTCCATGCGCACCCTCTACCAGCTAACCTGGTCCTTCCCACTACCTCAGGCCACCCTGGGAACTCTTGGGAGCAAATCAGCAGGTGTTTGAACCTGCAGCTGCCTAAGAATAGGAGAGAGAGTCCATGCTCTGAGCCTGAAGGCTTGAGGAAGGATGCAGGCCTGGGCTGGCCTGGGCAAGGGGAACCCAGGGGACATGCTGATCAGGGACCAGGCCACCCACCTGGGGCCCTGTCCTTCCCCAGCCTTGCTTCCTCCCCGGGCAGCTGGTGGAATCCAGCAGGTTCCCAGGGGCCTTGACATTTTCAATATTTCACAAGGCCTGACAGGCAGAGGGCAGAGCAGCTAATGCAAGCTTGTCTGCTTCCTCTTGGTGGGGTGGGGGGGGGCACAGCCTTTGCTGCTAGATGGTCCTCTACCCCATCTCCCCCCAAGGCCCCAAATCTCAACATGACCACAAGCCTGGCATCTCACTGTTCAGGCTGGTGCATGTGGTGAGCTGAGGCCGGGAACTCAGGATGGAGTCACTCCTGACCTGACCCCTTCCCTCCCATCTGGCCCACCTCCCCTTACCCTCTCACACACAGAGGGGGCTCTCTGGCATCCAGCCAGGGCTGAGGAGGGCTATGGGGTCCTGTCTGTGTTCTCAAGGCTCAGAAGGGGGGCCAGCACAGTGGGAGGCGGACAGGAGGGCATGTGTCCAGGGGGTTTATTTATAAACCAGAGCTGACAGGCCTTGGTGATGGATGGGACCAGGGCAGAGGGTGACAGTGCGGTGGATGGAGGTGCCGAGCTGGGTGGCTGCTGAGATGACTCAGCGCGCCAGAGGCTCTGCCTGGACCGGGCAGGGGCTGCCCAGCAGCCAACAGAGCTTCCGGAAGGCTGCGGCTCCTGGACCGTGGAGCCAGAACGGACTCCTGCACATCCCAGCCTCACAGGCAAGCCCCCTGGGGCCAGAGATGGCGGACAGAAGAGCAGCCTGGCCCACCTACACTCTGTGGGACAGCCTCTAGCAGTGCCAGCCAGCTTCTGTGCCCAGCTTCCAGGGCCCTTCCCACCAGGTCCACACGACTCTACCGTCCCTCCCCTGCCTCTGCTTAGCACAGGACTGAGCCTGGGGTGCACTCATGGGGTCAAGCCTTTGTCCTCTGCTCATGGGGGCCACCCTAGCCCAACTGGCAGATGTGAGCCTAGGATTTCAGCCTGGGGGCCCGAGTTCTGTCTGTTTTCACTGTTCCCTTTTTACATAGCTCAACACTAAAGGTGTGACCACAGCAGGGACCAGAGGTACTGGGGACAAGGACTCAGCCTAGAGGAGCAGGAACCCCAGCTCAGGTGGATGGGTAGAGGCTGGGGTTCACCTGCCTTGTGGCCGGGGCGGAGGCAAGCAGGACCACCACGGGCCTGACCTCCAAAGAGCCCTTGACCGTGGCCTATCTCCAGGCCAGGTGGTGGGTCAGGCTCGCTCTGCCAGCACCTGTTCCTGAGCCTCTGGCATGCTTACCCTCAGTAGGGGAGGTCTTCAGCCTTCTGCACAGCCCCCCGACATCCCCATAGTCTTCCTGGATCTTCTGCAGGGCCTCAGCCCCGCGCACCTCCATAAGGGAGCGCAGCTCGGCCAGGGTGCACCCAAAGCCTCCAGCGTGGGGGGCATCTCGCTGCTGCTGGGACTTGGGGTAGAACTCCACGGAGCTGTTGGCCATGTCCCCCATTCTGTCTGATGAGGCCAGGCTGGGACGAGAAGAGGTCAGGCTTTCTTGCAGGTACAACTCCAGCTAGACTGTGCCTAGGGACAGGCCCTGCCTGAGGTCCCAGCGCGTCGCTGAGATTGATGACAGAAGTTGGCCAAGTGCAAAGACCTGGAGAGGAGAAGCCAGGTTGAGGCCAAAGGTCAGATAGAAGCACAGTCCCCACCCTTACCCTCTGAGCCTCTGCGACTGGGGGCGCCTGTCTGAGAGGACAAGGAAGTGTAGGGAGGCGGGCTATGGGTCCCTGCCTCCTGGTGGGGACCCTGGTGCTTCCAGCGTTAGCTCAGCTTCAAGTGCCACCCAAATCTCCTAGGGGACACCTCTGAAGCCAGGATGCTGCGTGCCTGATTCCGCCAGGGTCAGCGCTGCTGTGGCCACGGCCGCGCGGAACAGCTTCAGGCCTGGGGTGGCACAGAGGTCCAAGGAATGGGCAGAACCATGAACAGCTTAGCAGACAGGGTGACTCTGTGGCCCTGAGGGGACCTAGTTGGGTGGGGCCAGGAAGAGAGGAGGGAGCAAGGAAGGGTAGGAAAGAATGGAAGGGGCATGATGAGGACTGGGAACTAGAGAACGCCAGAAGCAGTCACAGGTCATCAGGGACCCACAGCCTGTGGGCCCCAGCACAGTGCCACTCAGTCTCTCCATGCCCCCTGTCCTTGTGATAACACTCTCAAGACGGCTGTCTCTCCACTCTGCCCGCCATACTCACACCAGGCCATCCCCCACCTCCAGCCTTTGCCCAGCTGGCATGGCTGAGCACTGGTGCCCACAGGCCTCCTCCTTCTTCAGCCTCCTGCCCCATCTTTGCATATCTCTTTCCTTGTCATTCACAATGGGAGTCAGCCCCTAACACTCGGGAACTGAAGTAGTGAACATAGGTGGCCTTGGCCTTCACATCAGCAAAGAGCTCTCCGTTGGGCCCTGAGTTCTTCACTTGCAGGAAGCCCTGGATCGGAAAGCTTCACCTGGAGCTAGAACCATCCATGAGACCACCAGAGATCAGCAGAGAGGCAAAAAGGCCTCCTGGAGGTGAGAACTGATGTTTCCAAGTCTGCGACCTTGAACTCTTTGGGGTGTCCTGCCTCTAGCTCAGCCATGGCCAGGTACCACTGGCACCCACTCTGGCGCAACCACCCACCACTGCGAGCAGGAAAGAGCACAAGGTCAGAGCTACGGGGTCTTTCCCGTCCCATATGCACAGACACCCCCAAGGGGCCCGAGCTCAGCTGAGCCCTACGCTCTTCAGCCTCTGGCTGCCTGGGGAGGTCAGTCACAAGCCAGGAGAGGAAGCAGAGCAGCCACACAGGGACTGGGTGCTGGATGGGCTTGACGGCACGCTGCAGAAAGGATCTGAGTGTCTGGGGACGGAATGCGTGCAGACACTAGGAAAGAGGCAGGAAGTGGGGAGAGGAAAGCAGGGAAAGGTGGTCGGGAGGTGGGGAGCTGCTGCGGGGAGACAGCCAGGCACGGGACACAGAGGTGATGCTGGAATTGGATGTGGGGTGGGTGTGAAGAGTGCTGGGTGTGAGACAGGACAGGGCTTCCTCTAGGGGTGCCATGTGAACTCCGCTAGACCCCCCAGAGTGGCTCTCTCCTCTTCCAATGGGACTTTGTGAGACAGGAGACTAACCCAAGCAATGCTGTACCCCCACCTCTGTACTGCCCCTGCCCAGGTCCCCGGAGGAGAGCTCTGTGGTTTGGAATCCGTGTCCTCCACCTCCTGGTACCTGCGCTGGCTGTCAGGGAGAAGGGTCATGATCTGGTCCATCTGTGAAACCAGAGCAGCCAACGTCGGATACGGGATGGGAAGGCCAACAGAGCGGGCATGCGGTGTGGGAGCCCTGGACGGTACCTCTCAGAACCAGGACTGAGAGGGGACGCTAAGCCCAAGAGCCGGGGGGGAATGCTGAGGCGAGAGCGGGTGGGGGGGAGACGCAGAGCCCAAGAGCCAGGGGAACGCTGAGGCGAGAGCGGGGAGGGACACTGAGGAATCTGGCGGAGGGGTGGGGGGAAGCCACGGATTGACCCTTCAAAAGGATGGGAACGTCTTTGGAGGGCCTGAGCGGTGAAAGGTGTCCTTGGGACGTATAAATTGCTGTCACAGAAGGTTGTAAGCAAAGATTAGAAGTTCATGTCCACCAGACGCACCTCAGAAGAAAGGTCACGTAATCCACGTCCAAAAATGCCTCCACTGAAAAGTCCGGTGCAGCACAACTCTCTGGCCAATGAGGACGCCACTGGTTGGAGTCAACAGGACTGTCGCAGGGCTAGTTTTTAAGCACCAGAAATCATGGTGGACTCCTCTCAGACTCAGCCTGTCCATCTCATGCCCAGGGCTCCATTCGTTCCCTCTGTGGCGCCAGTTTCCCAAAATGAATCCAAAGCCAGGCCTCTATTCCCACATCCACTGTCACTTGCCCTGGTCCAAGTCACCTCACTGCCCTCAGATGTCCCACAAGGTGAACCAGTTCAAAGGACAGATCCCTGCTCCACTTAAAACCTGCTATGCCTCCCATATCCCAGAACAGAAGCTAAATGGCAATGATTCCTTCAGGGCCTGACCCAGCCCCAGGCCTCCCCAGTACCTCACCACCCCTCCCATCCCCACACCTCCCCTGTACCTCACCACCCACTCCCAGCCCCACCCGTGATCTGCTGCTGGTCACTGATCTCCAAACCCTCTCCTGCCCAAGGGTCTTCATACCAGCTGTCCCCTTGGCTGCAAATGTGCCCCCATCCACCCTGTCCCCCATCACTTTCAGCTCCTACTCAGGCCTTTGCGGAGCCCTGTGGAAAATGCAGGACATAACTCATACGTACACTCTCACACTCACACACTCATTCACACCCACACTCTCAAATAGTCACGCACACACCCACAATTCCCACACACTCTTGCATACACACATACACTCACACCCCTCTGTTTACTTTCCGTGTGCTCATCACCAAGCAGACACACAAGACCACCTCACGTCACCGTGCTCCACTTTATTGTGCTTTGCAAATAGCACATTTGTTAGAAATTGGAAGTTTGGCACCATTTTTCCTGCACTGTCTCTCATTTTATGTCTCTGTCGCATTTCAGTCCTTTTCACAATATTTAAAACTTTTTCATAACAGTGATTTCACTGACCAAAAATCAACCCATTACCATCAAGTCAGTTCCAACTGACAGTGTCCCTTGTCCTGAGAACATAACTTTTCTACGTGGTGGTGTTGGGAGAAGCTGTCAACTATGACACACAGTGAGCCCAAGAGCAACCGGCCTGACCCCCGCCCGTCCTGCACCATCCAATCACCTCTGGCACTCTTGAGCCTGTTGCTGCATTCACTGTGTCAATCCATTCTTATTTGGGGTCTTCCTCTCTCCTGGGAGGCTAGGATTTTGGAGCTCTGTCTCATGTACTTTGGACATGTGGCCAGAAGAACATCATGCTCAGAAAGGTGGACGGATCACAGGAGACTAGAGCGAGGGCTACATGGTGGAGGGGACCTGGGGGAGGGTTTGTAAAACAATGAAAGAATCTTTTCTTTTACTTTTCCGTAA